TTTACAATGAAAGAGGAGGACTTCAGCGTACTGTTAGTAATGGATGAGTACACTCTGCATGCTTCAAATATTTTAAGATGAAGTTTTATTGCAAGTGTCCCGAGTAGCCTCGTTCGACGGGGCTACTCAGGACACTTTTTTTGCTTCCGGCACCTTACGAATAACATATGGAATTTTTTTGAAGATGCCATTTGATAGCCCTTGCAAAGAGCTATAAAATGAGCCTAAACTTGTTTATGAAATGTTTCATGGTAAGAAAGTATCAACAAAAAACGCTCAAAACCGTCCTGAGTAGCCCCGGTTGTCAGTAGCAGCTAAACTAATTACAATATTGCAAAACTAAAAATAGTAATGTAAAGTTAAACATTTTTACTATTTATGCAGTACCGTATAAAGTAAGTTGAGAAATCATACATTTATTACCTCTAAAAAAATCCCTGAAAAAAGTGTGAAAAGTGAGATTTTGGAAAAGTACCTCTGCTAAGGTCTGTAGCAGAAAAAATATTTGTCATAATGAAAAATTTTACTTACATAAAAGTTGCACACTAGTGTTGGCTTAAAAACGTGATTGACAGAATTTGCATATCTCATTCCTAAAAAAAAATGGTGGCCATTTCTGCAAAACGGGGTGATAAGGGACATCATTATCATTTTTATGATTATGACTATTTGCCATTGTAAGAAAAAACAAGTTTAGTCTTACAATGACAAGCAGAGCAAGTTCACAAAGTGAGAGAAAAATATATAAAAATTAATTTTTGTTCTAGTTTAAGGGGACCGGCTGCCCTAAAATTTTCAATTTTGGCATTTTTCGGTTTTTGTGCTCATCTGAAAACTGGAATTATGTTCTTTCCAATGGTACCACTGCCATCGCTGTACGCCAATATTTACGTTCATGATGTCTCTTTAAAGGGAAGCGGGTGGGAGAGTTCTTTAAGTAATTAGATATAAAGGAATTAGCTGCTGAAATCTTTGAATATAGTTTCTACTTGAGTTGTGCTGCAGTTACATGCTTAGTCTCATCTTAAAGCTGACATTCTGAGCTTTCCAACGATACTACTGCGATCCATGTACAGCAATATTGACGCAGATGGCCGTGCTTTAATGGGGGGCGGGGGGTGGAGTTCCTTAACTAAATAGACCTAAGAAAATTACAGCGGCAAGACTACATATCTTGGTGTATCTGGCATCTGAGCTCAGTTACCCTCCTAACATTGTATGTAGAGGTGCACTACAAGTTGCTGCTAGCATCCTTGAGTGGATTAAGCTACAGAAGCCTGTAGTTTGGTATCCATGCTACATTGAGTGCCTATTTCGAGGCGCACGGGACTTTGTCGCGCCGTCCTGAAAATTTTGAAAAGTTCAACTTATTGTCACGGAAAACCTATCTCCTCCAACAGTTTTCAAGCTACAGCAATGAGAGTTATATCATTCGATTCGTAAAGACCATAGCTATTGACGTGGCCATCGCTTTTTTTGAATTTGTGCATGGTTTGTCATATAAATAGGGGAGACGGGGGGAGGGGGTGAAAAAAGTGAAAAATGGGAAAAACGCACATAAAAAAATATGGGGAAAATGAAAAAAACAATGGCTAGGTCGATAGATATGGTCTTTACAAATCGGATGATATGTGTCTGGATGTTGTAGGACGATATTTGTAGGAGGAGATAGATTTTCTGTAGTACCCGTTTTTGTCCGTTTTCTATGAATTTCATGTTTTCTATCAATTTTTTCGAAAAATTCATATGAACAAAATGTTATTTTTTTTACATTTTACGTATGTATGTGAAGTTTCATGATGATCGGATGATAACTGTAGAAGTTTTTCCGGAGGGTAGCCGGTCCCCTTAATTATTTTGGTTAAAGTATTTATAGTAATTGTGTTTTAATGAACAAATTGGTTTGAAATACTCCATGTACCATCAAACAGGGTAATAAGAGACAGTTTTGAGCATTTTTTGTTGATAACTTCTTACCATGAAACATTTCATAAACAAGTTTGGGCTTGTATTAAAGCTGTTGGAAAGGGTTATCAAATGGCATCTCCAAAAAAATTCCATAGGTACCTATGCTATTTTTAATGTGCCAGACACAAAATAAAAGGGTCCCAAGTTACCTGTGCAAATGGGGTAATCCAGTACCTACACTTGATATTAAACTCAATTTGAAAATGTTTGAAGCGTGCAACGTGTACTCATCCATTACTAACAGTACTCTGAGTGAGGATTGAGGCCCTCCTCTTCCTTTGTAGATGATGTATCACTAGACGTAGAGTAAATGACATTTTCTGTAATTTTTAGTTTTTCCTTTATAGGTATGTATTAGCATATCCATACATTTTCATATTATTGATGTGCTATCACCTTATCAATTCCATGGACATGTCATTGTGCATTTACAAGTTACAACAACCTTCTTCACTGCAAGCTTCATATCAGCAGCCATATTGCATTTCTTCTGTATCTATAAGCTTACAGGACAGCTTGTAATTTCACACCATTTTAATTGGGTCAAGTGAATTCACTATAACAAAAATATATAATAAAAACATACCTGAAACAGAAAGGAATATTTTAGTGACAACCATCATATTTTTTTCAGAAATAAATCATTGTTTAGGTTAAGGGGAGTGTCTGGACGCTGAGTCAAAATAAAAAATGTTGACTTCTCCGGTTTTCATACTCATCTTAAAGCTTACATTCTGACGCATCTAACAGTACCAAAACAATCTCTGTACATTGATTTATGCTTTCATGACAGATCGCAAAAGAGTTAAGGGTAGTGGTGTTCTTTAACATTTAAGATAGGCCGAAATTTCCAGTAGCACACTAAAATAGCTAGTCTGAACATGCTGTGCTTCAGTTATCTGCCTGCAGTCGTACGGGATGGTTCTTGTGCTGTCGTTTGCACCATTCTTGACAGAAATTGAGCTCCAGTATTGTCTAGTCTTGCAAGTTGCAACCTTGCACCCTTGAATGTCTGTTTCGAGCTGCGTGCAACTTTGTCGGGCTCTACTGAAAAGTTAACTTTTGTCACTGCAAACCTATCTCCTCCTAGAGTTTTGAAGCTACATCAATGAGACATATACCATTTGATTTGGAAAGAAAAGATCTACAAAATGATGCATGCATTTTTCTGATTTCATTACAGTTTGGATTTTATTCTGCAAAAATGGCAGGGGGGTAAAATTAAAAATTTTCCAATAAATTTACAAAAAATGTCCCCACACCCACAAATATGAGAATTTAAAAAAATGCATAAGGTACATCATTTCTTAGATATGGTTTTTACGCATCGAGTGATATGTGTCTCAATGTTGTAGCTTGAAAGTCCTAGGAGGAGATGGGATTGCTAAAGTACCCCCTTTTTGGCTGTTTTCTAAGAATTTCACATTTTCTTTCATTTTTTTGAAAAATTCACTCTAAAGTCTTAGAATTCCGTTTTACATAAGTGTACCAAATTTCGAATTGATCTGTCCATACGTAACCAAGATAAAATTTGGCCCAGATGCTCCCCAGATGCTACCTTAATTACTATGTTGCCCAGTGCATGATTCTATCTATGACATTCTATGCACAATTTTGTGATGACCAATGATGCATTACTTTTTTGTTAAGTGGAATTTTTTCGCTGAGCAAGGTAAATGTAATCAAAATTTTTTGTTGTTAATTTATTTTTCGCTCAACTAGAGCCTTTGCTACCTGAGCTTCTACTGTAAATGCAATTTTAGGGGTGTCCCTATTACCCTGTCCTGCAGAAATGGCTGCCATTTTTTTTCAATGCAAATTCCATCGAACGCGTTTTAAAGGCAACACTACGGTACCATAGTGTACAACTTTTATGTAAAATTAATTTAACCCTTACGGGTAAGTTACCATATATGATCACTTGAAATCATGTCACAAAAAGCATCACCACAGCTTCCTGTTTGTTTTTGAGGCATCCTTATAATGCCTCAGTCAATCACTAATTATCTGACCATCGTTCTATCTATAGCATCACCAGCTGCAAAGTCCACAAATTGAAATATGAGCATTTAAATTAAGGTTTTGACTCGGACAATGGAATTGACGCTCTTTCCGCATTTTCTTCATAAGGTGGAAGTATCAATATATATATTTATTTATTTTGGCAACTCGATTAAATTTAATCAAATTAAATTTTTATGTTTCTAATTTTTCATTTGCATAAACTGAATTTTAATTATAAAGAAAAATTTTTTGTACTGATCGCATTTATTGAATTCTTCATGTGCTATTTAAACCTTCAATAGGCAAAATATGCAAAAATTCATAGAAATAAATATATTGTATAATACTTCTTACTTTCTTGAAATGGTTACTGAAATTTTAATTTCTGGATATTTCAATGCTTGCCCGCTAAAGGGTTAATATGGCAAATATTATTTTTGCTACAGACCTAAACAGAGGGTACTCCTTCAAAATCTCCCTTTTCACACTTTTTTCATGTATTCTGTAAAGGTAGTAAATGTATGATTTCCTAACTTGCTTCATGCTACATAGATAGTAAAAATAATGAACTTTACACCACTATTTTCAGTTTTGCAATATTTTGATTAGTTTAGCTGCTACAACATTTCTACGAAATGTGGGACAACTGTCCTGATTTACCTCTTTGACAGTAGTTCAAATGTAGAGAAAATGCAGCCCAGCATGTGTTCCATTGAGCAAGCTCAAACTGAGAGGTTGCTAGTTAATTTTGCCCTATTACATTAGGAATATTTTACTTGAGCTTTAGCCAATTTGAAGAATCAACTCCTAAATTTTTAGGCAAGAACAAATAAAAGCCAAAATATTTGTTATTAACCAAGTTTATAAAGACATTTGCTGTAGTAGAATACATATAATTTATGGCAAGGTAACAAAATCTTCTGATATTACGGATTTCTGACAAATTATTTTAATCTTTGTGTTGCCTGTTTACTAAATAAAATTCTATTTAATTTGCATGAGTACGTTATGACTCCTTTTAGGTTCCTTGTTCTAATTTGTAAGTTTTTTCACCAGCTTTCCTACTATTTTTTCAATAGAACAAATATCGAAGATGCTTTTGACATTTAAAACAGTGTTTCATTCTCAAATTTTATGCAGAAGTATGTCGCAAGCCACCAATAAATTAAGTGGGAAGGTAGCTATTGTCACAGCATCAACTGAAGGGTGAGTTATCAGTTTAATATAAATCCTTAAAAACTAAGTCAGTAGGTACTTCAAACTCAGAGCAGCTGAACTTTCCTAGGCTCAACTTTTTCTTTAATAAGCATCATATATTACTAGCAGAATCCAAACTGATTCAAGGCTAGGAATTTGATTGAAAATAAGAAGCTGTGGTTTAATCGTAGATATCTCAATAGCAGTCTGCTTTTCTCAACTTTACCTAATTTTTACAGCATTGGATTTGCCATTGCTGAGCGCCTGGCGAGTGATGGAGCTCGGGTAGTGGTGAGCAGTCGAAGAACTGGAAATGTGGATCGAGCTGTCAAGGAGCTGCAGGAGAAAGGCTTAACTGACATCATGGGTCTGCAATGCAATGTTTCTAAGGAAAAGGATAGAATAAACCTGGTGCAAGAGGTATGTATTGCAACTTGTTGTGTGACTAAAATAATTTTCAAATCGTTAAAGTCTACAACAACGACAACATGGGCATATAAAAAATTATTCATTTGTTTTTCTAAGTGATCACTTAAAAAATTAGATTAAGGTTGAGATCATTTTTATTCATTCTTATTTTGTTATTATGAGATTTGTAATATAAAAAAAACAGTTCAAACAGTTCGCTGAAAAAATTTAATTAGGCAACATATATTGTTGTAGACTTATCATTATTAATTAATTCCCCAACTATCATTATTTGCATTATTCTGAGCTCTGGTAGATAAATAACTACAATCTATCATTTGAAAACATTGTAGACAACTGGATGACCATGGCTTTCTAGCCTAAAATATGCTATGGTATCCATGGTAACTAATAATTTCTCTTCATTCAGTTACTACTAAAAAGATATTCTAGAAAAAAATCAAATCTGCATTGAAAAAAAAAGATAAAATATATGAAATCATTTTACAAGAAATCATAAAAAAATTTTGTGTCACTTACTACTTCACTGTTTTCTACTTTTTTCACACATACATAGATGCAGATTCAAATTTGCACTTATAGTATCTGACAGCATTGTGTTGTTGACTGAACTATCTTTTATTGCTTTCTATGAAAGATTGGCTCAAATAAATATGATTATAAAGTCAGATTTTAAAGTTGCTTATGGAAACCATCTCATAAAATGTTTGTATTGAACCTGACACTGTAGCAATTTACATGTGCTCTGAAGGTGCTGTTGTTATTGTCTTCTTGCTGATTATATGATGCATTTTTTCAGACCGTCGCTAAATACGGTGGAATTGATATCCTTGTATCCAATGCTGCAGTCAACCCAGCTATGGGAGGAATTCTTGATGTAAGAATTTCATGAAAGTTATTCCAAGTTGAAATACTGAGCTTTTTATAACTTGTTGTTACCTTACAATTAGTTTCAAGTTTTGATTCATGAAAAATTAATAGTTACAAAACTCTTAGCTGGGCTCTCGGTAAGTTCAAATCCTTCAAGCATCTATAGTCAGATAAAACATGGTCTATATACACCTCAAGAGGAATCATGACTAGTATTTTGAATTCAATTCCTGCATACTTAATAATTGTTTTTTTTTTCAGTGTGCCGAGCCAGTTTGGGACAAAATCTTCGATGTAAATGTGAAGAGCGCGTGGCAGCTGACCCAACTCGTAGCGCCACACATGCAGAAAGCCAAGAAGGGTTCCATCATCTACGTGGCCAGCATAGGCGGCTACCATCCCCTCAACGTAGGAAATGTTATGAGAAATTAGCCCTGACACACTGCCTGAGATGAGATATCTTGGAGATGAAGAGAAATGTGACTTCACATGCTTTTGATGCCAAGACATCTTTTTTGTGCCATTTACTAGTTTGTCAGATTGTTACTGCTCTACTATTAGTCATTTGCTTACATGCAATTCATTCACAGTTATCACCGATCGTTGGAAGGATTATCTTGGTGGACAAATTAATATTATGTGCCTGGAGCGAGTTTCTGCCACACATTCTGCTTGGTGGAGTTGACATAGAGTTGCAAGCTTGCTTCATTTAATGACGATTTTCTTTTTAGCGTATTTTCTCATTTATGAAAAAAAATGCACTATTGTGTTTGCCATGTCCGTCTATCCGTCCGTCCGTGACTTCACGTTTTCTTCAACGAGAAAATGCGCTCTCTGTCACTCACTGCAGTGAGTACTGAGTTATATTTTTTAGTAGTTACATTTTCGTCTGTCCCTGTGAATGATTTTCATAGTCAGTAAAAGTTATAAATATTATTGCAGTTATTGGGTGCGTACAGCCTGAGCAAAACATGCCTGCTGGGGCTGAGCAAGGCCGTGGCCCAGCAGCTAGCACCCGACAACATCAGGGCGAACTGTATTGCTCCTGGAATCGTCAAGACAAAATTTTCCTCACCAGTGAGTGCATACTACAGAAAAATATTAAAATCCTCTTTAAATATTAACACGCATTGATTGTATTTTGCTCTTAAATTTGTGGTTCAGTGGAGTAATTTATTCCTTCAACATGAACTCACAAATAATCGCTCCAGTCCATAAAATGTGTTGATTTGCAAAACAAATTCCTCTTTTCAAAATGAATTCTTATTAAATCGTTCCAGTTCTGTAATGATAAGTCGAGTAGAGTATTATATTAAATTTATAAGTATGCCTGAGAACCCAACTCATTCTTGCAGCTTCATGGCAATGAGGCAGTGTACGAGAAGATGATGGAGAGCGTACCTCTGGGCAGGTATGTAGAGGCACTTGCTTCTTACCCTTTTGTATCTAATTGTTCCAAATTACCTGTTCCAGTGTTCTACCTGTTCTCTCTATCAATAGAAGTGAAGTTATTGTGAGCATGGAAATTCATTGACGAAAAGTTCTGGGAGTTCACGAAATGACAAAAAGTTGTGGGACTGGGAGTTCAATTTAGAATATAAAACTTGCAAATGAGTAGTAATTTATGAGAAATTGTAATTCATGAATAATGAGTCGAGAATCAATTAGAAGGCACCGAAAAGCTTATTGATTTCATTGATAATGAGCGTTAGAAGGTTAACTAAAAATTTAAAAGCAAAAATAGTCCACAAAAATTCACATCTTTATAGAAAACGTTCCAGAGACCAGCTCCATCGTCAGTTGGTAGAATCTAGAATCACAAATTAATACAATGAAAGCACAGAACGAAATTCAACAGTTAGCTCCTATCCACTTGAAATTGTGAATAGAGAGCTTTTTTGTGCTCTTTCTATTATTTGTAAATTTAGTTTTTTAATTTCGTTGTGTGCTTTCATTGTATGAAACAAAATTGATTGATTCATTGTATGAAAGCATAGAACCATTTGTGACTTCTAATTTGTGATTCTAGATTCTATGAACTGACGATGGAGCTGGTCTCCTGAACGTTTTCTATAGACATGCGAATTTTTGTGGTGTGGATTATTCTTTGGTTTTGAAATTTTAGTTAATTTGCGATTTAAGCAAACAAGTGACATCAATTTGTTATAAGGTGATCTTGATTTGGTTGTTTTGAATAATTACTAATTGTCTTTTATTCGTAATAACTTCACTCGTTAACTTGAGGTGATCTTGGTCTGGTTGTTTTGAATAATTACTAATTGTTTTATACTCGTAATAACTTCACTCATTAACGTTAACATCAATTTGTCGTAAGGTAATCTTGATCTGGTTCTTTTGAATAATTACTAATTGTTTTTTACTCGTAATAACTTCACTCGTTAACTGATTGAATTTGATGTGCAGGATGGCAGAGCCCAGTGAGATGGCAGGCTTGGTGTCGTTCCTGGCATCAGATGACGCGTCGTACATCACAGGCGAGAACTTCGTGGCCGCAGGCGGCATGCAGTCCAGGCTGTAGTGCACCTCTGGCTCTCCGGCAACAAAATTACACGAATTCTTGAAGGTTTAATATTAAAAGCCCCTGGCCAGAGGAAAATTATAGATTTCATGCTAAAACTACAAAAACTACATTCTAGCACAAGTTACAATCTATTAAATTTCTCTTTATTTTGTTCTATAATTGTGTGCGTAAGGGCGTTGAAGTTACCATTCTAATTGGTCTATATAAGTTGAACGGCGTTTCCATGTTGTTACAAGGTGCTACAATTCTACAGAGATTGATATTTTAATTTATTAATTAAATGTTGAATATATCGAGATAGCTAAATAGCTGAAGCGCTCGTAAACATTTGGCCACTAAACTAACTAACTAACTTATTTCTGGCTATCATAGTAATTTAATTTAAATGCGCTCACTTACTTACATGCATCATTGCATATAATGTCTTACTGACAATGAAGATAGTGTGCCATAGGAACACTACTGTCTCTAATTAAACAAAACTAATTACATATGCCCTGTTGTTATATATTGTTTCTGTTACGTTTTTCTCAGCTAGACTAAGGAAATGTAATTTTCTGTCACGTCTTCAATGCAAATTTAGAAGACTTACAAAAGCAAAATTTTGGCGCTATTAACATCTTGTCAGAAAGTCCGTTGGGCAGCAGGTTGATTTTGTGGAAGTAGTGCGGCCCATAATTGTGGTTATAAATTCTAGGTGAGGCAGTTTACATTCTCTGTAATCTTGATTATTGTTGACATTCACAGAAGTAGCAATGCAGTCTTTGTAATATGTGGTCAAATGGCGAAGTTGAATTTTTTTAATCTAAATTTATATTCATTGGAGGATTATTAGGATTAAGAAGCGTGATGTTTCCCTAAGACTTTTCTGGAAGGGAGCCTCGGCAGTTTGCTTAGTTTCTCAGCTTTCGTTCGTGCATTGGTCAAATACGCCATATTGCCGAGTGGTCCTATACGCCATATTGCCGAGTGGTCCTATACGCCATATTGTCGTGTGGTCCTATACGCCATATTGTCGTGTGGTCCTATACGCCATATTGTTGTGTGGTCCTATACACCATATTGTTGTGTGGTCCTATACGCCATATTGTCGTGTGGTCCTATACGCCATATTGTCGTGTGGTCCTATGCGCCATATTGTCGTGTGGTCCTATACGCCATATTGTTGTGTGGTCCTATACGCCAAATTGCTGTGGTCTTATACGCCATATTGCCGTGTGGTCCTATACGCCATATTCCTGTGGTCCTATACGCCAGTTTGCTGTGTGATCCTATACGCTATATTGTCGTGTGGTCCTATACGCAATATTCTTGTGGTCCTATACGCCAGTTTGCTGTGTGGTCCTATACGCCATATTGCCGTGTGGTCCTATATGCCATATTGTTGTGTGGTCCTATACGCCTTACTATCGTGTGGTTCTATACGTAATATTGACACGTCTCTACTGCACTCGCGTAGAAAGATATTTTATGTAATATTGTGTCATGAGCTTATTTTTATAAAGATGCTTGTAATTTTTCCAGTTTCCATGACCTAATTACGTTCAACATATGCAGTTTATTTCTTTAGAAATTGTAGTTAATCGCGCTCTGGAAATTCAGAAAAGGCCAGAACCAGATATGTTCCTGTGTAGGTCACCAGCTTCTGTAACGTGCGAGAGATTTGATTTCCAAGTGCAGCATCAAAACTTCAGCCTTCGCTCTACTTCATACAAAATTAGCCCGTTTAAGACTGCTCATACGCATGACGTCTCCTAAGCGCACGGTGAGAAGCTTTAACAATCACACGGCGAATGCGAGGGCGCTTCACATAACAAATGAACTTCAACGCTGAAGGGGCTTAAGGCCCTGATTGAGAACCGAGAGGCTTCGAACAGGCTCGGCTCTTCCCTATGCGTTTCTCCACTAATTAGGATAGACTTTACTCCACTCTCAAATGAGATGGCGATATGGATTTTTCCATACTTACCCAGCTATTTATTTATAAGCGTCGACCAGTAACAATAAAATGTAAACTTTGCATTAAGAGCTTTAATGAGAGGAAATTTCAAGAAACTTGGAATATTATTGTTCATCATGTCTGCGACTTTTTTATTTTTTTTCGAGAAGTAAACGGGTTGTAATTTTTATTCTCCATTGAATGGTATACTCGGCATTCCTTGATCAGCCTCCTTGTTGTAGATATTTTCTACCGAAAAATAGTTATGATCGAGTCTGCTGATACGCGGAGGGAAAATCCCGCATACTAGCTGCTCAAATGGAGACGTTGTGCAATGTTTGAGGGAAAGAGACGTCGTAAATTACTCAACTCAGTTCACGACGGGTGGCATGGTAAAGGCGAAGTCAATGAGGGGCGAAGAATAATACGTGGCCAGTGGTCGGCCTAGTCCAATTAGTTATAGTCGACCGTTGGCCATTCCTCGGCCACCTGAAAGCGACCAGTTGCCGCGAAGAAGGGTCTGGCTAGGATATCATATTACAAAGAGTACAAGCTCGAGGGTAGCGACTGGCCGAGCTTTGGGCAGATCAAGGATTTTACACGATGGTCGCGAAAACCTCGCTCTCAGACTTGGCTGCATTTTGACTACAAGCCTTAAGGGGCCAGTGCATGAGCAGGCAAACGATGAAACCTGGGAATATATTATTATGAAACTGACCTGCCAGATCGTAAAGTATTGAGAATATGTGAATCAAACCGTGAACTTGAATTTAACGCCACAGCTGTTCAAAAGGTTCATCGCGTAACAGCTTGTATTGCTTTCCCTGTATCAACCATTACTCTGGCATAGAGGTCGGGGCCATCTTGGTGATTCACTCTCGAAGGCTTGTAGTATTTATGTTCTAAAACTTCCGGCTTCTTGCTCAACGAGCTTGTGGTGTTAACACGGCTGCAAACCAGTTACTACGGCGCCTCTGATCAGCGTTTGTAATGTAATTATACTCTATATAGAACAACACGTGCAAAAGTTAATTTATCCAAATTAGTTCCATACTTTTTTCGATCATGAATGTTATACGCACCTTGCGGCGCACAAAGAAACTTTTCTTCAAGACATCAAAAACTTACATCACTGAGAGACACAAAAATGTAGCAGAATTTTTTATTTTAAGCAAATTAGTGCCAGCAAGTACTTAGTAGCAGAAGGAAAATGAAATTCCACACAGGAAAAAATTCCTTGTTGGTAGAATACTTTCTATTCTAGCCGGTCAGGTACTCGTCATGACGCACCGACAGGGTAACACGAACCTCCCCTCACTCACCGGGACACAAAAAATTCCCCAGCCCATTTATTATCAATTATGAGCTTATTTGTTGTAATCGCTGGAAAATGAAATAGTTCGTGATTTTTTATATAATAGTTCGCAAAATTTTGAAGCAGTCAAGTGTGATAGTTCACGTGAATGACATATGAATGAAGTATTCATGTCACCTTAACATCACCAGATTACCTTTGCCTAACTATCTTAAAATTTAATGTCAGAGAATATAGCTTGTCAATTGTTTACACAAACAATTACACGAAAACAACAAAATGAGGCACACAATAGTAAAACAACATCCTCACATCACGAAAGAAGTCTTAGTTCAGTTCTAACCTCCTCATTCCATTAGCACAAGCCAGAGATGAACATGAGCCCATCGATACGACGGACTTTGATCTTCTAGGCTAACACCAGAAGGTTCTTTCTAAACCAACACTAGAATGATCATTCTAGGCAAACACCAGAAGTTATTTCTAAACCAACACTAGAATGATCATTCTAGGCAAACACTAGAAGTATCTTTTAAGGCAAACACTGAAAATATGCAGCAGAAGGGAGCCGCTACTGGCGCTGCGAGTGCGCCTCTCGTCGCGCCGCGTCCTGCAGGAGTTGCGTGTCTACCTCATCAGCGGGCAGCTGCACGTAGCGCACCACGCTGCCCCGCACGAAGCAGTTCTTCACGCTCAACTGCAACACAGGTTACCTTAGTCTTCCTACATATTTATAAGAACATTTCAAGAACTAGTGTTACCATATTACGTATATTATTTGTAACTTAGTGTTAGAATAATATCTAGTATGTTATAGTTTCTTATTCAGCAAAATTTCACAATTATTAAGTTGTGAAGCACCATTTAGCAGAAGTAAACAAAGCATAATAAAATCCAGCAATCCTGGCAAGAAAGTTGCATACAACTACACATAAATATGAAGTCTTTTAGCAGGGAATGTTGAACATTTTTTATACTAAAATACACATATATTTTGTCACTTGAAAACTGAATGACTGAATGGAAACCAGTCAGTATTTGACAGAAAAGCTTTGATCTTCTTCCTTCCTAAAATTGGTTCCAAAATGAAGTCGCGTGTGAACTTTTTCATTTCGGCAAACATTTTTCACTTATTATAACAGCATTCATGATGTATGAATTAGTAGTTCATTACTTCTTAGCCATAGTATAAACATTTTTTCTTTATTCACACTAGCATCTGAAACTTTGCCTATGTTAAATTGCTTCACTTAACCAAACCTACAACATTCATCTTGAAAGTACTTCAAAATGGGGCAAAAATCATTATCTTGCAGTACCTTCCTCAAACCCTCTAATGTAACCCTCAAAAAAAAAAAAAAAATCAGAGATTTATAAAGGCAGCTACCTAGGTGATTATCTTTTAAATTAAGAAATGTTTAAATTGGGTTCAAGGCACATATGTGGCACCATGAAAATGTGGCTCTGGTGGAAACATTAAAATACTAGCAAGCCATGCAAAAATCTTAGGTTTGAAAGAAATCTAAGTGATTATCAAACACTTCTTGATTGGTATTGGAATTGATCATCAAACACTGGAATTTTGTGGTATTTTGTGCATTGCACTCCACACGTCATATTGCCTTCCTTCTAGAACACAAAAGCTGATAAAATGGCAGCTACATGACTGGCTTAAAGGTGGTGGACTTGCCAGCCAAAACAGTTAAGGTCTTTCTATAATCTGTAATTTAACAACAGTGTCATTAGATAACAGTGTTATCTAGCAACAGTGATGAATTGCAAAATTATGAAAACCAGAAATGCTAACAATGAGAAAAATTGATGAATTTAAAATTAACAACAAAATTAATGTACAAAAAAATTGATGTTTCAAACTAAAAAATTGCACTACATGCCACTGATGAAGTAGCCAAGCAAGAATGAGATAGATTAAGGTACAGATATCATATTCTCCAATAAGATGGAATTGAATTAAAGTTTGAGTAATGGAGAGGGCAGAAGGTATCATGACTTACCATATGAGGATACTTCTCAGCATCAGTCACGTTGATGTCAGTCAGTTTGATGTTGAGGTATTGGTCCACTGAATGCAGTGTCCCGCAGATGCTTCATGCAAATAAGTATTAAGCTAATTTCTGATTAAATAAATCCAGCATTTATGAACTGTACGTTGAAGATATTGATGCATCAAAAACAGTAATCTATGATATACTGGTTAACCCAACACTTGATCCTACTATCAACATCCCCATACATATCACATCCCTATTGAAATATGATTTTAAATGAATATTATTGACATGATATAGTATTTTAGAAGAAACTTTTGGACAAACATGTGAAAAAATCCTACATATATTGGATATAACTATATAGGTAAAGTTTCAAATAATTTTAGAAAATTAGATTATTTCACTGGCAGAAACCTTTGTTCCCATTTCTCACCTGAGATCATTTTTAAGTTCAACTACGACATCCTTCCCAATCAGAGACTTGAAGAATGAGTAGAACAGCTGAAAAAATTTTTGCTTTAAATATAAATAAGAAACTTTGATTTCACCATAAATTTTTTTGCACCTATTGATATCCATGTATTGGTCCAGATGCTCATCAATGATGAATGAGTTTATGACAACATTTTTTAATTCAATAGTGCTATTAGATGCTAGATTGGTGATATCAATGAACCCTTAAGCAAATTGTAAATATGAAAAAAATTGAATTCATGGAGATCCAGATAAGTACCTGCATATCATGACAAAGCCCTGCACCAGAAATTAAAACCAATTCTATGACATCTTTGATGATGAGAATCTTTCAAAATTAGATACATTGAAGAGACAAATTGCTGTATTTTTATCAAATATGGTCACAACACTCAAAACATTGGATAAAACATGAAATTATGCATGCAAATCTGAAAGTAAATATCTAACTTCAATATTGATAGTTCTCATGAAATCACTGACAAGAATTGATTATTATTCCTTCAATGAGTAATAATCCAATAATGAGCATTAAATTTTGGTGTCAGAGTAATAATTTCTGTTCAAACACTGATAGGTATCGACTATCGTATATACGGTATTCTTGTTATGAGCAAAGGGCAGTGACGCATGGAACAATAAGCTGAGGATTCGTCTTGGCAAGGTGCATGTTCTCAGACACATGGCTGGAGACAAGGTAGGTATTTTTTTCTAACAAGTAATTCAATTATGAGTTGTTCATACTGCATAGATAACTGACTAATAATGACCCTTCTTCTCACCATTTTAAATTTTGAAATTAGTCTTATCTAATGTTTTCAGTGATCTGCACAGAAAGGAGATTCTAGATTTAAATTTTATTTGTACATTATAAAGCCTATAACAAACCAAATAAAATTATGCATATTTTCTAAAGCATTAGTACAATAATTGTTCAGGTGATGGTAGATATATAATCCCTCTTGTGGATTTCACTTCTCAACAAATAATTTTCAAGATGCAGATTGCAGTACAAAGATTGTTCTGTCATCAAACTAGTCTAAAAAACCTGAAGGGCCACCATCAAATTTACATTGTTTTGCAACTGTCAATATATAATCAAACAATTTCCCAGTCAGCTAAATGCAAAAACTGAAAAGTCAAATTTTTTTTAGAATTTTAAGGCCAATCTTGTAGAAAAATTACATGGTTACAGTGTGATTGGATCATTGGTAGTGGTGTTAACAAATATGCATGCATTAGGTGCCACTTTCCCCACTCCTTATGGCTTATGCCAAAAATTAATATTAAAATGAATGTGTGATGCGTGGCAGCTAGCTGATACAAAGGCCTGATGTCTGAAGATCTTTTTCAGTGTCACCAAGCTCCATATCCAAATCCAGGTACCAGCATGAAAAGGTAGCTAGAAAAGGCAGAGAGATTAAAAAAACAGCATATGCAAGACTGTCAAAACAAAAACAAGGGGAAAAAAAAACTTCAGTCCAATCTTCAGTCCACTGAAGATGCTCACCTCACTCATAGACAAGAAAATTGCTACTTTCCAAAATAATGTTGATGCGAAACAAAGTGCTTTCAGTGAATTTATAATTTCCCAGCTCTTTAGTCCTGTATTTTTACTTTATCATAAATCTTTTGTTACTAAATCTGCATAGAATTCTGCTATAATTTCAAGATTTGCCACTCTTAAGGAAATTTTAAATTGAATTGTGAAGTACCAGGCCCCTGCAAAAATTCCATGTCCAAGTTTTTTGTTGAGGTTTACTCAACACCTGATGCTCAGAAGTCAGAATTAGTGTTTGAAATACATCTTAATAATATGCATTCAAAAATTACTTTTCAAAGACAACACTTCTAAAGAATCCAGTATCTCTGATGTTACACATGTACAATGAATTTCTAATTTTATTTTTAAATATTAAAAAATTAATTAAATTTTTTTTTATCTCCGATGTTACACATGTACAATGAATTTCTAATTTTATTTTTAAATATTAAAAAATTAATTAAATTTTTTTTAATATCTACAAAAAAATTAAATATATAAAACTATTTATTCCGTCAATTGATTTGTACATTGTCTCTGACTTTACACTTTACACAAGTGTGCAAAAATTCAGATTGATTGGACAGGTAGAAGTGTGTTAAATATGGATTAAAAATTTGTAGCAAGCAAAATTATTCTTGCAATTTTTTATTAATAAAATTTTATTTTTATTTTTAAAACTATTTATTCTCTCACTTGATTCACGCATTGTCTCCAAATTTACGCAAGTGTGCAAAATTTCAGATTGATTGGAGAGGTAGAAGGGCGTTAATTATTGATAAGATTTGTAGCAAACAAACAACAAGAAGTGAAGTTAAAGAGACGTGTTGTTATAATAAAAACTATAAATTGTAGAATTTGATTAGCACCTGAGTCCTGACCAAAAAATGTTTCAATTTCGCTTAAATTTGAAAAATCGAGTTACATCTTGTTTAAAAAAAATTTTAATGAAATTGTTTCTATTGAAGGTTATTGACATGTAGGTATAATGCTTTGGCAATTTGTGGCAGTGGGTCATTGACATAGAAGCTTTCCACACATTTCTAAAAAATATTATAGATTTGCCAGATTATAGATATGCTATCTAGTATCTTGGTGTAGTTTGGCAGAAGATTTTCTTTAATGCAGGTTTCATTGAAGACCAGAGAGTATTTCTTATTGACAATTTTCTTATTGTTTTTCTCTATTCGGCGAATTAGGCTCTTGATAGGAACTGAAAAGTCAAATATCAGGTTTCCAATGGACATTTTATTATAATTTTAATTTTACGACGTTTCGAATGCAACTTCATTCATTATCAAGTAGAGGACGAGTTTTGCAACAAGTGAATTTGAAATTTTTAAATGACAATAGTACAAACATAGGGTATTATGGATACAGATTGGAATCAAAGCTTGAACTACGAGAACAATTTTAACATCCTGACAAATCCTGTAGTTTGTAAATTAATAGTTGGAGACTCCTGCTTGATGATGAGAGCCTCAGCTATCGTAAAATTTCAAATTCACTTGTTGCAAAACTCGTCCTCTACTTGATAATGAATGAAGTTGCATTCGAAACGTCGTAAAATTAAAATTATAATAAAATGTCCCTTGGAAACCTGATATTTGACTTTTCAGTTCCTATCAAGAGCCTAATTCGCCGAATAGAGAAAAACATTAAGAAAATTGTCAATAAGAAATACTCTCTGGTCTTCAATGAAACCTGCATTATCTAGTATCTATGGATAAATTTGTAATATTATCACATAATTGAGACTTTAGCCCTGAATCTTCAAGTTTATTGTTGAATGTTTATTGGAATGCAGGGTTTCAGTAATTTGAAAAAATGACATTCTCCAATTTTGCTTGGCCAGCTTGAGAATGAGAGAAGCAGGCATAGAAATAGGGTAAACGCGGTATATTCCAACATCGTGGGTAATTCTGACACTTCTCGACTCTTTTCCTTTATATTAAGCTTTTTTTTAGTTCCACGCATTCATTGATGGTTGAAATAGTGACCAAAGTGATGTCATACTATTGCGCGCCATACTATTGCCAAAACACTAGGTCTCGGCCATCTGGCAGGAAAATGTTGAGATCCAAAGAGAGAGAGTGCACATCACCCAGTGAGAACATCGAAAAATGTGTCAAAGTTAATAGTTGACCTTGCTCTACCGAATAGTGATAAGCTGTTTGTATAGAAAGAATATTATTGTTTGAGACTTTTAAATAAGTCTGGGGACTGTATATATATGGAAACCTTTAAGTATACCACTTGTAAGTTGTATTTGCTCATTTCAAGTGGTAAAAAATTAATAGATGATTAAGTTAAGAGATGGTTTTAGACACATAAAAACTAATTCTGACACAGCTTGGAATTAGACACACACAGCTCGTTCCGAGCTGTGTGCAAAAATTAAAATTTTCTTAATTAAAAGCTTAATAGCTCTTAATTAAAAGCCTAAATAAGTAGTGTTCAATATTCAATAGTGTTCTAATTCTAAGCTGTGTCGTATTCCAATACAGCTTACACAGCGATTGGAATTTGAACACAAGAGAGTTGGAATAATTACGAATTAGTAGAGTTTGATGCGCGGCTGGAATGAGTCTCACAAAATGCCAAATTTAGTCACACACAGCATCAGAATATATGGATTTGGTAGGTTTGCATTCTAAAGGCTTTTAAATAAATATGGCAACATTTTGTGACGTTTCATTGTTGCTGGCACGGAGTGCGGCGTTTTGAGTGACGTAAAGCAAACAGAACTCGAGTTGCGCGTACGGTGATTTTATTATAGCCATTCATTTTTGGCCATGTCCTTAATGTGTTGGAAATAATCTTGGAATATACTGCATTTACCTATATCATTTTTTGGAACTGCAATAGGAGCAGTCCTGCAAATTTGCCGTTTTTCTGAAACGTTCCTGAAATAATAGAGAAATTTTCATTCCCAAGGGTATATAATTGGGATTCATAAATTACCTACTAAATCCATTTATTGTCATTTAATTTGGAATCAATGGATGATAATGGAATTGTTTTATGAATGATTGATGTCCCCAGTTCAGGATGGAACATAGTGGCAAAGCAGAGAGTTTTTTAGACTCTACCCCAAGTTCATTTTTGAGTCCTATAAGTAGACCAGTAAAGTATCATGGATACCAGGATTATCATACAAAAGAAATTGGTTTAAAGTATTAATGTCACTTATTTGCTTAAATCGCAAGTTGACTGAAAATTTAAAAGCAAAGAATAGTCCACAAAAATCCATATCTTTATAGAAAACGTTTCGGAGTCCAGCTCCATCGTCAGTTCGTAGAATCTAGAATATACATAGAAAATCACAAGTTAATACAATTGGAAGCACAGAACACAATTAGAACCTAAATTTACAAGTAATAGGGCATAAAAACCTATCTATTCACAATTTCAAGGGGATAGGAGCTCACAGCTGAATTTAAACTGGGCCTAAGCTTAAAAATGTACAATGATTCTAAGATACGCAAATCTGAAGTACCGGGGTAGAAGCTAACACCCTAAAGTCACTGTCAGAAACAGGCACATCACACTGCTTGGCGTGAGTGCGCACAGCCGAATGAGGAGGGTGCGATAGCAACTGTCCGGTCCTACAACACCTGCCCTTATGCTCAGCGATCCAGGAATAAAGATTGCTTGAAGTCATCCCGACGTATGCAGATGCACATTGTGCACAACGAAATTGATAAATCAGGGACGATCGCATATGAACAGGGAGCATATCTTTATATCTAAAGAAAGAACCATTTCACATTTGCTCAACATACCAGGCTATGCATGCTGAATTTGAATTTTCAATAAATATTTTCTTGCTTAATGGATTTCCGGCAAGTTTGGTGTATACCCAAATCAAGAAATTCATGTCGAAGCAATTCAGTGAGGTTGCTCCCGAGCGCGATAGTAGGAACGTTATTTATTGTTCTTTTCCATACTTTGGCCCTGCGTCCAAAGCTATGTCAAGAGAATTAAAAGTCTTGTTCAATAGATACGTACTTTCCAAATGTTAAAACTCCATATTGTTATGGTTAACAGTTTCAAAATCTGTTCTTTCTTTAGATATAAAAATATGCTCCCTGTTCATATGCGATCATCCCTGGTTTATCAATTTTGTTGTGCACAATGTGCATCTGCGTATGTCGGGATGACTTCACGCAATCTTTATTCCTGGATCGCTGAGCATAAGGGCAGGAGTTGTAGGACCGGACAGTTGCTATCGCGCCCCCTCATTCGGCTGTGCGCACTCACGCCAAGCAGTGTGATGTGCCTGTTTCTGACAGTGACTTTACGGTGTTAGCTTCTACCTCCGGTACTTCAGATTTGCATATCTTAGAATCATTGTACATTTTTAAGCTAAGGCCCAGTTTAAATTCAGCTGTGAGCTCCTATCCTCTTGAAATTGTGATTAGATAGGTTTTTATGCCCTATTACTTGTAAATTTAGGTTCTAATTGTGTTCTGTGCTTCCAATTGTATTAACTTTTGACTTTCTATGTATATTCTAGATTCTACAGCTGGACTCCGAAACGTTTTCTATATAGATATGAATTTTTGTGGACTATTCTTTGCTTTTAAATTTTTAGTCAAGTTGGTTCAAGTCTTGAGTAGGGTAAACGCGGTATATTCCGACATCGTGGGTAATACCGTCACCTCTCTCGTTTTTCCTTTATATTAAGCTTTGTTTTAGTTCCATGCGTTCGTTGATGGTTGAAATGGTGACGTCATATATTTGACGTCAAACTACTGCCAAAACACTAGGTCTTGGCCATCTAGCGGGAAAATATTGAGATCCAAAGGGAGAGACAATGCACGCTACCCAGTGAGATCATCGAAAAATGTGTCAAATTTGACAGTTGACCTTGCTCTACCAAATAGTGAATAACTGTTTGTACAG